CCCCAGGAGGTCAGAGGTCAGGGTGCGATACATATCCTGTAGGTTTCTGGGTTGTCACAATACTATCTCTCTCTCTCTCTCTCTCTCTCTCTTAACCTTAGTCCCTTGTTTGACCTGAATGTACCATTCTTGCTTAAAAGTTTTTTTCAATGCATTTTTGTGGTCATGCTTTTGGTGTTAGTAGTTCCTTTTTTTAAATTTCCACAGGTCAGAGCGGAGCTGGAAACAACTGGGCCAAAGGTCACTACACAGAGGGGGCGGAGCTTGTGGATTCCGTCCTGGATGTGGTGAGGAAGGAGGCGGAGAGCTGCGAGTGCCTGCAGGGTTTCCAGCTCACACACTCCCTGGGAGGAGGCACGGGCTCCGGCATGGGCACCCTGCTCATCAGCAAGATCAGGGAGGAGTACCCGGACCGCATCATGAACACCTTCAGCGTGGTGCCCTCCCCCAAGGTAACACGTCAAATGTGTCTGTGTCTCACCACAGATTACCATTATTTGTAGAGCATGAAGACTAAACAGCTGTTGATGCTCCTGGTCTCTGTGTCTGCAGGTGTCGGACACGGTGGTGGAGCCGTACAACGCCACGCTGTCCGTCCACCAGCTGGTCGAAAACACAGATGAGACGTACTGCATCGACAACGAAGCACTTTACGACATTTGCTTCCGCACTCTCAAACTCACAACACCCACCTACGGTGACCTCAACCACCTGGTGTCAGCCACCATGAGCGGCGTGACCACCTGCCTGCGTTTCCCCGGCCAGCTTAACGCCGATCTGAGGAAACTGGCCGTCAACATGGTCCCCTTCCCTCGTCTGCACTTCTTCATGCCCGGCTTTGCTCCTCTGACCAGCAGGGGGAGCCAGCAGTACCGCGCCCTGACCGTCCCTGAGCTCACCCAGCAGGTGTTTGACGCCAAAAACATGATGGCGGCCTGCGACCCTCGTCACGGACGCTACCTGACGGTGGCCGCAGTGTTCCGCGGGCGCATGTCGATGAAGGAGGTGGACGAGCAGATGCTGAACGTGCAGAACAAGAACAGCAGCTACTTCGTGGAGTGGATCCCAAACAACGTCAAGACGGCCGTGTGCGACATCCCGCCGCGTGGCCTCAAGATGGCCGTCACCTTCATCGGCAACAGCACGGCCATCCAGGAGCTGTTCAAGCGCATCTCTGAGCAGTTCACCGCCATGTTCCGCCGCAAAGCCTTCCTCCACTGGTACACCGGCGAGGGAATGGACGAGATGGAGTTCACGGAGGCGGAGAGCAACATGAACGACCTCGTGTCCGAGTACCAGCAGTACCAGGACGCCACGGCGGAGGAGGAGGGAGAGTTTGAGGAGGAGGTGGAAGAAGATGCCTGAAAAAGAGGCACTGCAACACGTGACGGAGAAGTAAACGACCAAAACCAAACAAAAAAATCTCAGAAAATGTGAAAGAGAAATGAAGGAACGAAGCAGAGAGGGAAACGAAGACTTCCAGAAGAATTTGTAAAGACGGATCGAAACAGTGACGCAAGAAAATTCCTGAAAGAGAAGCGTGATGAAACAAGAGAGAGAGAGAGAGAGAGAGAGAGAGAGAGAGATAAGAGAAACCAAATTAATGTGCCATCGTTCAGTTCAGTTTCACTCCAGAGAGGACGCTTTGAAAAATCTATCTCCACAAATTCTCAAACCATAAAATCGCCAGCTTCACTTCCTTTTCTCCACATGTTGTCCGCTTGGACATTTCTTTGGATCCTGTCTGAGGGAAGGAGTCCACTGATTTTTATTTTGAAAATAGAAACAAGTATTCAAGTTTTAGTTTTGGTTGCAAAAAGCAGGAGCCTCCTCAGACGCCAGCCAACGTCATGAGGAGGGTCACACACTGCAGAACACAGGTCAGAGACGCATGCTAGCATGTTAGCATGTTAGCATTAGCCTCACCTGTTGTGGTAGCCAGATCTTATCTTGACAAGAAGCATCCCTGCTGCTGTCGGATTAGAGCAAAGTATGTTTTAAATTCACAGTTTCCAATCACTACCAAAACTGACAGAACAGAAATTATTATAAGAACGTGAACAAACTCATTTGATGTTCAACTCTGAGAAGGACAGGTTGACATTTGACGTCTTTAAAAAAGTGCTAAAACTCACTTAAAAAGAAAAAAGTATGTCATCACAGTGAAGATCTACACAGCAGTCTTTGTCATTAGAGAAGCTCTACACTACATTTCTGTTCACATCTGATCAGTATTTCATCCGCTAACATGTTTCGTCCTGTGAATAAATGCACGAGTATTCACTCTGAGCCCCAACGTTAAGCATTTTTAATCAGTATATGTGATGTGTAGCCATGTCGTCTTTGTGTCTTGTGTGTTTTACTTGATTCTTTGTTTACTTTTTTCTATTCCCATAGAACAAATTGAACTGGAGCTCCAGTGACTGTGAAACATTTGTGAGAAATAAAAAGTCATTTGTAGGAAAAAAAAACTACACGAGTAGTATTTATTTTTAACTTATTGATGACCTGCTTTTAGTGTAGGGCTGCGTGGGGTTTGCAGTGGTTAGCGCTGTCGCCTCACAGCGAGGAGGTTCCTGGTTTGAATCCCCGTCTGACAGGAGCCTCTCTGTGTGGAGTTTACGTGTTCTCCCCGTGCATGTGTTGGCTCTCTCCGGGTACTCCGGCTTCCTCCCGCAGTCCAAAGACATGCTGGTTAGGTTAATTAGTGACTCTTAATTGTCTGTAGATGTGAATGTGAGTGTGGCTGGTTGTCTGTCTCTTCATGTCAGCATGATGTGATTGGCTGGTGAGTAGTCGATGGTGACAGTTGGGATCGGCACCCGCCCGGCGACCACAAAGAGGAAAAAGCGGGTTAGGTAATGTGTGTTTGAGAACCTTTGACTATGAGGAAGTGTTACCCTTTTCTGCTAACTTATGGATGGAAGATTATATATTACATATAAAATGATATTTCATCAAGTTGTCATATTTCTGTGATATTTAAGTTTAGTTTGAAACAAAGGACTGTTGACATCAAAGGTCTGTTTTACAGTTCATATTTTAAGTCTTTGAACGATGATCCAAAGTAACATGATTTTAATGAAGCAGACCATCGCACAACTATATTAATTTTTTATGGGAATGAAACACAAAAGCAGCAGCAGTTTGAGGGCTCCAAGATTCAGGACCTCGGACAGCGTCAGCACCACATGTGGAGGGGTTCAGCGCTAAGATTCAGGACCACGGACAGCTGCACCAAGAAGGACAAGGACCAGGAACCATCTTGTGTGATATGAATCAGGTTATAAGAAAAGAAAGGCATTTAAACCTGCACATAATTTAATGTGCTTTAGAATTATCATGGACTGGTTGTGAAGAGAACATGCTGCACTCAACTTCCCTTTTCAGGCCGACAGCTTTTTTTCCTGCAGGAATTTTGTCCTCACAGGAGTCAGTAGATACCTTAACCAGAATCAAGCTTAATAAAACATAATGAAAAGGCCACTGATGCATCATGGGAATGTGATGTCCATTGTTCTGTCATGAGTTTCTGGTTTAGTTTTATATTTGTATTGATCTGTTATTGTTTCCTGTTTAATTTAATCTTTTCCTTCCCTTGTGTTTGTTGTTTCTGTTTTATCCCTGAGTTCATGGCCTACCGTGTTTCCTGTTTTATTTTGTAGTTCTTCACCCCAGTGTTTCCTGTTTTATTTTGTAGTTCTTCACCCCAGTGTTTCCTGTTTTATTTTGTAGTTCTTTACCCCATTGTTTCCTGTTTTATTTTGTAGTTCTTTACCCCAGTGTTTCTTGTTTTATTTTGTAGTTCTCCAGTGTTTCCTGTCTTTCTGCCCTTGTGTATTTTCCCTCCTGCTTGATTGCCCTCATCACTTTCACCTGTGTCAGTTCGTCATGTCTAACTTTCTCCATGTTGCCTGGTGAATTCTTGTTTCTCCAGAGTTTGGACTTTTTTTTGTTGTGCCTTGTTAATTTTTGTAATTTGGACTTTGTTAAGAAAGTAAGTTTTTGTTTTGCCTTTTTTTAGGGTACTCCTTTTTTTTTTCAACGACATGTTCATGCAAAATGTTCTGCATCTCTGATGGTTTCTATTGCAATAAGCAAACAAGTGAACGAATGAACTAAGAAAATCATGTTTCCTGCTGGTAAAAAAACAAACAAAAAAAAAACTAGTCATAGTTAATCAAAAACAAAGAGGAGGACCCACGTGCAAATAAGAAAACTAATTATTTTAAAGCAAAAGCTGACTTTACTAGAAAGAAAAATCCACAAAAGGGAACAACAAGCCTCAGAGAGCCTTAAAGAGAAAAACAGATAATACAGGTAGGTAGACTGAGACAGAAGGGTCGAAAGACTTAATACAGGGGGCAATCAGACAGATGGAAGCAGTTAAAAAAAAGTTAAGGAAACACACAAACGGAGGAAGTAAGACGACATGATCCACAGGGGCAAGAACTTCAAAATAAAACGGGAAAACAAAGAAGTAAACTAGTAAGAAATAATACAAAATTAAAATGACCAAATAAGACAGAAAATTACAACCAGGCAACGAAACGAGGAATAAAGTAAACAAGCGTAAACCATGACAAAGAAAACATAGGCCCACCCAGGTGCATGCTGGTCCTACACCTGCCTTCTTACCTGAAGGTGCTCACAGTGTTATCCAAACATGAAACAAAAGAAAAATAGGCCTACTTATTATGCACAACTAAATTTACAAAACAAATAATTATCCAAAGAAAAAGGATCAAAAATCTATTCTAAACGTCCTACCAAACTAAATTCTAAAAAAATAAAATTATTTTCCTTCAGTAAATATCCTGAACACACAAATACGTTAAAGTAAGAATTATGAATAAATGTAAAGTAACATACATGTCAGGGAAATGAACGTCAGTTTGGAAAAATCGTGCATGTCCTGCAACAAACTGCAGAGAGCCCCTTCTTGTGGCTCCGAGCCAGAAACGACGAGTCTTACCGAAGCTTCCCGAGAGCCTCCGAGTTCAAACGGTCCACAAAGCCGACACCAGCCGAAACTCTCCAGTTACTCCCGATCCGATCCCATTGAAGTGTGTTGTTGGGGGTGATGGGGAGGACGAGATTCATGAAATAAATAGGGCTAAACAAAAAAAAAAAAAAAAAAGACTATTTCCAGAAAGCTTCCCTCCTGAGCCCCTCCCTCTCCGCTGCTTTTCGGCTTTTCGGCTTGGCAAAGGTAATTACCATCATACAATTACTTGTGTATTACAGCTTTTTAGCCATTTTTTTCCACAGTATTTGCTTGAAAACAGGGAGGTAGTGGGTTAAATTCAGCAGCTTTCCTTTCATGTTTTGACTATTTGCTGGTGCTGAGTGGTCCCATATCGGATGATTTAGGGCGTGTAGCCATCAGCACAGCAGCGAAGGCGTGTGGGATGGCAGCTATTACATATCCCCACTCAATATTACACAAATTAACCTTTTCCTAGCACAAAAATGATTTTAAAAAACACTGAATCCCCCGAAAGAATAGCGATAAATGGCACAGGATTCAGACAGGAATGCAATAATTGCTCAGGTGTTTCATGGTACCGGACTTGTGCACTGAATGTCCTCTTTTCTTTTATTCAATAGGCTATATGGTTAATACTGGAATTCACTTATCGATCTGCCGGTGTCTCGGACAATGAACACTGCAGCCTAAGGCTTAAACTGGGATCACCAAGGTTTATTTTATCACGATGTGTTAGTTGGTAATACATGTGTGTTTGTTGGTTAAGCTGTGGTGCATTATCCTGTCCTGTGTGCGGGATATACCAGTCTGTATTGGGGTATTTTCTGGTGGTTACGCAATGCTGTTATGCGCTACAGCACGCTGAGTAAGTGTTTGTCACAGAGAAGAGTCTTTTAAAATGAGTGCACTGTGGATCCAGGAATCTTCTTATTACCAATAAATGTAGTTTAAATGTTCTTAAAATGATTTCCCTTTCCATTGCATATTTTCATGTCTTTGATTGCATGCCAAGACACACAAAAAATATCTTTAATACAGACAGACTCATGGAACTAGAGTGTCTGTCACATCCAACCACATCCTCATGTCTTCATTACTCATTCATTTTCTTTCCTCCATCTTCCATCCGGACATCCCCGAAACGGGACTGCCCCCATTCATGCCAGTCGTGACACACCCTTGGTGCACCAGCAGCTGCTCCGGGCTGTGTGTGTGGGCTGCGTAAAGAGGGTGAGGAGGGGGAGAGTGGGTGCAGGTGCAGGAAGGTGCAAGGGATGAGCACATCCAGCAAGAGGGACACACTTTTAATGTGGTCGTATTCTCTTTAGATGTAAGATTCAACTATTGAGATCATGATCTGACCATTTTTCAAGAGTTAAAACACAACTGATTGAGTCAAAAGATGCAGAAAGTCACATTATCTTTATTAAAAACAAATGGAAATTATGCTAAATACCTGAGCTGTGGCTCAGTTGGCAGAGTCGGTCGCCTCTTAACCGAAAGGTCAGGGGTTCGATCCCCAGCTCCTGCAGCCACATGTCTGACATGTCCCTAGGCAAGACCCCAAGTTGCTCCCGCTGCTTCGTCTGCGGCGTGTGAATGTGTTTGGGATTAGCTACTTCTGATGGACTCTTCACACAGCAGCCTCTACCATCAGTGTGTGAATGTGACCTGCAGTGTAAAAGAGCTTTGAGTAGTCAGAAGACTAGAAAAAGTCCAATTAGATAGATTTGTTATCAATGATCGCAAGAAATACTAGTGTTCATTTTTGATTAGAAACTTTTTAAAACTTGTAAAGAAGAGGGCGAGAAGTGAATAGAGCTATACATACGCTCTAATGTAAAATAACTGTGTAAGTAGAAACCATGATGTCAGCTTTGGTAGGAATTTGACTTCAAATAGGACTCAGTATCAGAGCCATTAGCCCACTACATCCTCTAACCAGTGTTTGGGTCTGACTGAGCCTGATAGGAATTAGTCAGAAGGATAATTAGGGACGGAGAGAGAAGATTACAAGGCAAAGACATGTCAGAACGAGGCCGAATTGTTTCAGAGGAAGAATAGAAAGATGAGACAAAGACAGGAAAGCAGAGACGGAGAGCAGCAGCTCTGAAGAGGAGGATGGAGGCAGGATGCTTCCACCCTCCTGACTCGTGTGGGAGAGAGCAGAGAGGAGGCAAAAAGGCCCTCAAGTCCGTCAGTCAGGACTGTCCGGATGTCAGGCTGAAGAGATCCCATCAAGGAGGCTGCTGGCTGTGTCACAAGCACTCCTCGTCATGGCTCTGATTGGTCCAGAGACACCAGAGCAGGGATCTCCTGTAAGAGTCAGAGTTTTTGAATGGACATCACGGCGTCAGCCAAAATAGCATCTTCATCTCACGCATCATGGCTGAGTCGTTTAGCCAGGACACCCGGTTATGATGAATGTCGTGAAGAGAACCACTGGCCTCCATCCAGGACGTGTGCAGGTACAGGGGCAGGAAAGTGGGCAGTTAACATCACTGCAGACCTCTCTCAGAACCCAGACACAAACTCAGACGGGTCGCTGTGAGAACCTCCTCGCTAACCACCTGCACCACCGTGCAGCCCTGTAACATCACTGCACAGCTCTGATGGCAGCCTTAAACAGCAGCCTTTTCAGACTGAATCTATTATAACACCCCTCTGAAGATGTCTGTGTAGTGTTTGTAGATGCAAGAAAGACAGAAACATGCGTCTCACTCCTGAAAGTGCAGCAGGTATCGGCCTCTTTGTAACCTTCTTACACAGCTAAAGGTGTTGTGTAACTATAACTCTGCCGGCACTTTTCTGAATATATACTTTCATCCCTCAGTCTTGAATATATTAGCTACTTAAAAGTGATTTGTCTTAATACGGCCTAGAAAAAACAGCAGCGACCTCTTACTTCTCCTGCAGATGTAGATCTGTCCATCAGTGATTCCACCCTGTAATTTATGTCTCTTAGCACCCCAGCACAAACACTCACACATGCAACTAGCTAATGACTCAGTCGAACGTTAAAGCGAGACGATGCTAACCGGCTCCAACAGGAACTCATAGGAGAAATATGCCCTGATTAGTGTTTCACTAAGTGACTAAGAGCATTTTGAGCGGTTTTTGTGGCTGCTTTAGAGCTCGGCTGTCATTAAGAAGTGACATTATGTCTGTGGATGTGCAGAGGGAAAGTAGATGGGCTTCTCACTCCCTCCTCTGAGGCAGCAGTGATTCTACAACTCTGCACATTATGCTGCAGGGGATACAAACAGCAATGTAAGTCTTTCTCAGTGCAGATCTCTAACATTTTCTAACATTCGCAAAAATATAACTCAAAACTTTTTAGTGAAAACCTACAGCATGTACATATCCAGCGTTTCTATAGAGATGCTTCAGTCAGTGTTTATATTTCAGCTGTTGCTCTAGCCCTGCAGAGTTTTTCAAAATGGGGGTCCTGAGCCGCCCTGGGGATGGCCAGGGGTGCTCGAAAACTTGGAATGGAACAAGAATAAAAATCAACTATAACCGTATTTGTGACAATAACAGTTCAGGGTCGTATCAATTGGTACGCTTGGGACCCCAGCAGAAGGGTAGCAAAACAGTTGGATGGCACAGATCGGTTATTTTGGTACAATTCCCAACTTTTGACTGTGGAAACGCCAATAAATAGGCACCATGCCAGACCAAACTGAACCAGACCACTTGGTGGAAACGGCGGTATAGTGCCTCTGGTTTTAAAAGATTGATTACACCCAGTGTGAGGAGGCATTGTTCTGTCAGTTGAGGGGGCGGTCCTTAATGCTGCCTAGGATGCTTGAGTGTTTACACTCCCAAACACTGTGGAGAAATGTGTTCCAGACCACCTCCGTACTGTATGTGGTCTGAGCTGATTGATCTCGATCCGTCCTAAGGATGCATTGGGGTGAGTTCCCACCTTTCATTAAGGCTTTCCACTTGTTTCCAGATCACCCAGGATGAATATTTCTACAAGGTGTCAACAGAGCCATCCATAGTTATATTTTCCTGCTTTCAGAACAGAGTTGTGTGAGAAGAGTTAGCAGCTGTTTATTTTTTTTTATCTTGCCTTCTCTTCCCTTTAGAGCTGCTTCTTTCGGTCTCTTCCATTATCTGTCCAATCGAATTACCCCGCCCTGATAACTCTGCTGCCGCCACTGCTTAGTCTAATCCAGTTCAGTAGTCGTGAAAGGTCAGGGAGTCGTTTCGTGCCAGCTGGATCCCGTCCACGTCCTGGTCCCAGCGGGATGGCCTCTTCATCTTGTCTCTATCTCTCTCTCTCTCTATATATATTTTGAGTTCCCTCACTTCCTTCACTGTTTGTCTCTGTCGTCATTTCTTCATTGCTTTTGCTTCTTCCCTCTCTTTTTCACATGTTGCTCTTCAGCTCACCACACTGTGTCTCGAGGCCTCTTTTCCCCTTAAATCTCCGCCTGATCGTATATTTGTCTGTACAGTAGCAGCGTAGATTTTACTGTCAGGGACTTTTGGCAGAGCTCTCTCTCAATTATTTGCAGAGCTAATTTGTGAGATGGGGTTCTGTGAGGCAGGATGGTGCAGAGCTCAGTCTGATCACACAGATTAAAGTTGGCATGCTTCTTCTTTGCAGAGTTGTTTCTCAGTTAAGCACCCAACCCAAATAAAATAAAATAAATATTTACCTTGAGCAAACTGACCTCTACGGGCTGATATTCTCATTTCAAATAAGATGATGTCATCATGGTACAATTATAGGTAGAATTAATCTTTTTTTTAGGAAGTTTATATTTGATTCTTTGGAGTCCCCGTCATGCTGTAGAAAGTTCCTCTTTGTTTGTTGTTCATTATGTGGCTTCCCTTTTTTCCAGTGACACACTCTTCAGGATGAAAGTAATCAGCTCTGCAGTGCTCAGCGCCCTGTTCTGCACCGGTAAGCACTCACATAACCAGTCCCTGGGGATTGGGTTTGGATTAATGAATGGCTGAAAAAGGCTTTCTGCAAAACCGAAAGTGTTTCAGCGCCACAGAAAACGAAAGCTACATTTAATATATCAGCTATTTTCTATTTTTCCTTTGTTTGCTTTCCTTTCATTCCTTGCAATAAAGCCAGCTTGTGTTTACATCTGGTCTATTTTCAGTGGTCATTATGTGGGGCATTAACATTTCAAACACTTGCAGACTTCTTAGGAAAGTGTGTTTTTTTTTCCTCCAATAAGAACAAAGAACCCTTTTTGAAGATCTTTGAACGAATCAGCAGATCTCTAAAATGAGATATATTTTAAGAATAAGCTCTGATCTGTTTTTTCTCTCACAGTTGTGTCAGCATCTTCAAAAGGTAAAACTGCATGCTGCTTTGGATTGCAGTGCATGACTTGTGTTAGGTGGGGGTGTTTCTGCTGTAAATGTTCGATGGCCGAGATCAGACAGTAAAGCAACAGAACACAAATAGCTGAACAACTTTTCATGTTTACAGTCTTGCTTTTATTCTGTTTGCAGGCACAGCCTACAAAATTATTTCTATTTTGGGTACTCTTCTAAAGGGCTAGAGAGAAGACATTACCTTCACTTGTAAATGTCAGACATGTACATTTCAGTCTTAACGAACCTCCTTTTTAGCTCACATCATACATTTGGCTCTAAACAAATATAGATCTGCTGCTATGAGAATCTTATACTATTACATATATACAGACATAAAAGAAGAATTACCCTTTGATGCTAGACAGACTAAATATGATATATCCACAAAATTATCCAAATGCATGAATGTGAAAATATTACTACTTGGAAAAAGTTATTCATGTGCATGAGGAATGCTACAGTGATAACATGATCAGTTTAGAAACTAGGAAGACACACGTTTCATGACACACCTTGATTGTTTTTACCAGTCAAAGAGGAGCACAGGACAGCCTTCTTTGGGGAGGACATTCACATCGCTGTCCCGCCTGGGAACGTCGGCGAGGTGGTGTTCAAACCCAGAACAAATGTCCTCGCTGAGGTGGAGCTGATGCGAGAAGGAAAGGTGGTGAATCCACGGTGCCGCATCAACTCTCTGGGCCACCTGGTGCTGGAGGACGTGAAGGAGGAAGACGAGGGCGTGTATGTCATCAAGACCTCCAACAACTCCAACACAGCCAAGCACCTCATCCTCATTGTCCGAGGTAAGCAGCCTCCTTAATACTTATAAGGACGTGGGGAGACGGGTGAAATGTTTCTCTGGCTGTTTTCGAAAACCTCCTACTATCAAACCCAGTTTGCAGTATGTACTGTGTACTGCGTTCAACAGTAGTACGTAGTATGACTGCCAGTCGGTGGTTATTTTGCAGTATCCTGGTTTACAGTTTTGGAATGAGGAAGTTAACAACAGACAAGCCAATGGCAAATGCAGCGACAGTGTAGCATCCACTTGCAGTCTAAAAAAAGCTGACAAGTGATTCATTTTGAACATTTTAGAGTCCTCACATCAAGATTATTAGCAAGCTTTAATCTCAGCCGTATGATATTATAACAGCTTTTCAGGTACTCCTCCTTAGTGTGATGTTTGATAAAAAAAAAAAAATGCAGCCGGGTGAAAACTGAACAATGTGTGATAATTTCAAGAAAATGATTGTGCTGTGTTTATTTTGTCTTGTTGATCAGACTGCGCAGTGGAACAAGTGGTGAAGTACGGAGAAACTTACACCATCCATCTCAACCAAGTGGAGGGCCCCATCACCCTGGAGTTCAGGTAGTGAAAGTAGAAAAACAACGATTCAGCCATCGGCACTTCACAGAGTCATGACTGTCACATATCAGTCATTCATTTTGAAGCCTGTATAAAAGAGAAACATATTCACTGTGCCGGCTGCATGTGTTTCCTCGTGTTAGTTAACATATATGCTGCTAATGTATATTTGTTTGTTTTGTTCATTTTAAGGCCAAGTCTGGTTCAGCCCAATCAGACTGAGGTCCATCATGCAATGGATGAGTCTCCACCCGTGGTGCTGTACAACCAGACGGCGGTGACTGCAGAGGAATATGTGAGGCGCCTCAGCGTGTCAGAGAAACGGGTGACACTGCACCCTGTCAGGATGACTGACGAGGGGAGCTTTACGGTGCTGGACCGGGAGGGCAAAGTGAGGAGGAGGAACTGTCTGAACGTCAGAGGTGAGGAGAAATCTGCACTTAGCTTCCTGCATCCTCTCAGCTTTAATTGGGGGATTCATCAATCTCATGTGCCTGGTTTGTTGGCCTCGGAGGGTAGCTCATTGAAATGCAGTGCTGATGTCTGGGTAATACATATGCGCTGTGAAATGTGAAGTGCTATTCAAGATCTTCGATATTAACCTAATAAGGTTTCATGCAGTAATGTTAGCCTTTTTGTGTTTCCTGTATTAAACATTTTAATCACTGTCCACAGTATCTTGTTCCTTGGCTTATAATAATACCCACATGCCTTTATCTCAGAAAAGGTCTTACGATGTCTTTTTTAAATGTATTTAAAATGAACTTTACTCACCTGCAGGGAAACTGAGCTGCTGTAGCAGTAGAGAAAAATCATGTCGCTGAAACAAAGAGCACATTTAATGAAGGTTAGGGAACAAAACATAATAACTGCCAACAGTGACATAATTGCTTCTGTATTCTATAAAAAAAAAAAACACTCTGCGAAGAACAATCCAGGGTGTCTAAAGCAACACTCATGGCTCTTTGTGGCTGTTTATAGCGCTGGTTTGAGCAAAATGCTAAAATAAACGTGCAGACAATAGCAAGGCATACTTGCTGATGTTACAGGTTTTGCTCATTATTTGAGTACCATTGTTTTAATCACCACACAATCATCCCGGACATGTTAGTCGGCAAGCTGCTTGATGTTGGCCTCTCCTCCCATTTCTGAACCTGGATCAGGGACTTCCTAACGCATCACCACCCAGATTGTCAAGCTTGGCCCTCCTCCATTTTCTCCTCTACTGCACCGAGCACTGGTGCACCTCAAGGCTGTGTGCCGAGTCCACTTCTATTCTCCCTGTACACCTCTTCCACCACACTGAGCTCTGGTGTACCTCAAGGCTGTGTGCCGAGTCCACTTCTATTCTCCCTGTACACCTCCTCCACCACACTGAGCTCTGGTGTACCTCAAGGCTGTGTGCCGAGTCCACTTCTATTCTCCCTGTACACCTCTTCCACCACACTGAGCTCTGGTGTACCTCAAGGCTGTGTGCCGAGTCCACTTCTATTCTCCCTGTACACCTCCTCCACCACAGAGTTCTGGTGTACCTCAAGGCTGTGTGCCGAGTCCACTTCTATTCTCCCTGTACACCTCCTCCACCACACTGAGTTCTGGTGTACCTCAAGGCTGTGTGCTGAGTCCACTTCTATTCTCCCTGTACACCTCCTCCACCACACTGAGCTCTGGTGTACCTCAAGGCTGTGTGCCGAGTCCACTTCTATTCTCCCTGTACACCTCTTCCACCACACTGAGCTCTGGTGTACCTCAAGGCTGTGTGCCGAGTCCACTTCTATTCTCCCTGTACACCTCCTCCACCACAGAGTTCTGGTGTACCTCAAGGCTGTGTGCTGAGTCCACTTCTATTCTCCCTGTACACCTCCTCCACCACACTGAGTTCTGGTGTACCTCAAGGCTGTGTGCTGAGTCCACTTCTATTCTCCCTGTACACCTCCTCCACCACACTGAGTTCTGGTGTACCTCAAGGCTGTGTGCTGAGTCCACTTCTATTCTCCCTGTACACCTCCTCCACCACACTGAGCTCTGGTGCCTGGTCTGAAGACCACTTTTTGAGGGTCTCAGTCTCCTCTCCTCTCATTTTTACTCGGCCCCAGACTGAGAGACTTTAAATCAAGACCACCACAGATAGCTTATTTTCCCACGTCATTACTATGTTGAGAAGGAAAACGCTGCTTTCTAATACATTGTACCTTAAGTTGTTTTTATCAATGTCACTGCCAGCTATACTGAAGACCTGTTCAACTGTGTATCCTATAACCCTGCAGGAGCATACCACTCCCAACGTCTAATGTTTCCCGGCTCGATATCCTCTGACATGATGCATTAAGTAGATCGTCAATACTTCTTTGTTCACTGCAGTGTTTTTTAATATGAATGAATCACACACTTACATCCTTACTGATGTTATAACCTTTGAAACCAGAAGCCCTTAAAGTTGCAGGTGAGATAGTTTTATAGACTTTAATCTCTGATATCTTCTCCACAGTGGCTTGAAAGTTTCCAACCGTTCAAACTGCACCGGAAACATCCATATCCCCTCATCCGCTCACAATTTCATTTACAAAGATAGACCGTGTCAATCTCTGACAAAAGCTGCTTTCACATATGCACTCCTGAAAATGTGCAGAAAATATCAGCCAGGATGCTCCTGAAATGTTCCCGAGTTGTTTGTTCAAACATGAACCTCACAGCAGGAGACTATCCCCGTCAGACAGCATAGGCTACATATGATACGATAGATACATTTCTTGTCGAGCTCGGCATAAACTGTAACGCCTCTGTGTTTTACCTCCACAGCGCACCAGATCTTCATGAAACTCGCCTATGGAGCAAACTTGAAAATGAAACTCTACCTTCATTACTCCAACCTTAACATCGTCTACATGCCCAAATCAGACAACCGGCCCCGTGTCATCCTGGACCAGGGGGTTCTGGTGACCCATCTGGACCCCATGCTGGAGGGCAGGCTGAGCGTGGAGGGATCGGAGCTCATGATGAAGAAACTCCATGTGGCCGACATCGGTGTCTTCATGGTGACCGACCTGGATGGGTTGCTTGTGGCTCATGTTTACGTCGAGGTGGAAGGTAAGAGAAAAGGACTTATTTAAATTTTCAACAAGGCGTATTTGTTTGTGATCCAGCTTTTACACGAGCTGCCTGGAAATTCTTTGACTATGGCCACGTGTTGATATCTGTGCCTTTGTATTGAAAACCAGCTCCAAATTTGGAATGCTAGTAACAAAGCTAAAACAGCTGTTTTTGTGTGCTTATAAAAACAGAATTGTTAAACACACAGTATGTAGATTCCATCATCCATCTCAATCAAAAGATGACATGAGGCTGGCGGGGAATCATGGGAGTGATTCTCTGTGATATTTCCCCCCATCAGGCTGTGGATTGATTATAAATAAAAAACACACTAAAGGATGTGCAACACTCTCAGATGTTGACTCTGCTGTACTGCGTGCTATTAGATCTATTTCTGTGTGCAAAAAAAATCAGCGTAGAAATAACCACAGGAACATGTCATAAGTCTGTTTAACATTTCAGCCTATCACGATAAGGCTTCTGACTGAGACAATGTGACGATACTTTATCCGTCACAAATACGATTTTAATGCAGAATTAAACAAAATCCACTTCTAATAAGAAGCTGGGATGAAAGATGAAGGAGCTACACAGCAGAGTCCGTTTGAAGCAACATTTGTGCGGCCACAGAAGACTCATTATTTTCCTCTGTGCATGTTTCTGTCTCAGCCTATAAGCTGCCTCCGCTGACTGTAGCCATACTCTCCCTGCTGGGCCTGATTGCCTTCATGCTGCTGGTCTGCCTGCTGTCCTGTCTCTTTAAAATGCACAAAAGGAACGAGAAGAACAAGAAGCTGATGCTCCTCGCTCAGCAGGGCAGCAAGGGAGACGGCGATGCTTTCAGACAGGTAACACCCACCCAGTGCATAACCATTGTTCTGCATTTTGTCAGAAGGAGGGAGGTGGAATACTGTAGGATCACAGAAACAAGAACAAGAAAGGCCGTCAGGAGGTTGGGCCTGGAGGCAAAATAAACCCTGCTTCATGTTTCGTAAGAGTTAGGTTTATGTGTTGGTATAAAGGCAGAGGAGGGTTCTGTTCCTGCTGTGGGAGTCAGGATGGTCAGCTGGTCCACTTCCTCCCCCTGCAGAGCTGGAACTGGCTGAGGACATCTCACAGTAACACAGTATTTCTAATTCAGTTCCCTTGATCTCTTGGTGTGTGTGTGTACATTAAACCCCAAAGATAGAGTCATATCTGTTACTCATTATTTAAGGCTTTTGTCGGTGGTCTAAAAGTATGATAAACCTCCTGCATAAGCCTTAAAACATACAGAGAAGAACACAGAAAAGCATTTATATCACTTTTAAAGCAATTTAAAAGTGATATAAAAGTACACATCTACAGATTCTATCCAAAAAGTGAAACCTCATACGCTGTTTTGCACACATTCACGGTCATTGCTTAGGAGTTTCAGAACCCCTTCACTATCATCTGACAACATTTGATGTTGTGGATGTTGAGTGGAGAGACGATATGACAGAATAGTTACCAGATGATTGTGAGCCAGCTCCTGAAATCCTCTTCTGTTAGATTTTATCAGCTGACATTAAAAAAAAGGCTTTTTATGCTTTTATTGCTGAAGATTTAAAAGCAGCCTTCGACTCAGTTTAGCAACAAACATATATTTGTTTTGTTATCCTGCACATTTAATTATTGTAAATCAAAACTATTGATCAGCTCTGGAGTCTTAAATGGATGATTGATGACAAGAAAAAAGTCCCCTGAAGCACCTTTTATTACCCCTCTTAAAATGTCAATGTTAAATTAAACTTTTCAAATTAGAATGAATTGTGCAGACGGAGGACGCTGCAGAGCCCGTTTGAACATTAAAGAAGCAGAAGAAGAAGAATTATTGATTGTCTTCTTAATGATGTTTTCTAAGCTCTGCTCTCAGCTGATCAATACGAGGAGATGAAGTGACCGATGGGATGATTCAGAGTAACGAGGTAACCCTTTAGCCTCCACTCAGTGTGTCAACATCCGGGGGTTAAACTGGAATTATAGACTAATTAAAAACCCATTACATAAACAACCTGAGGCGGAGTGCTTCTGGAATAATTAAAAAAAAGTCTGAAACAAAAAACAAACTGGTGCATGAAAGACGTCCAGACGTCGATCGAATCAGAGTTTAATTACTTTTATTGTTTTTGTACACATATTTTTCTGCAATGTTTCCTCTGATGGTTGATTGACAGTTAACTCCTTGTTAAGCCCGAGACACCCCAGCCCTTCTAGCAATAAGTAAGGTCTTTTACCTGCTTTTTGTAACATAACAATGAGTAAGGTCTTTGTACCTGCTCTTTTGTAATGTTAACAGACAAAGAGTAAGGTATTTTACCTGCTTTTTGTAAAGTGTCTTGAGATAACACTTGTTATGAGTTGACGCTATACAAAAATAAATTGAATTGAATTGAATTGAATTGAATAGAATAGAATAGAGAGGGGGCGTGGTCAGACACAGCTCATTTACATATTTAAAGGTACAGACACAGAAACAGCCTGTTCTGAGCAGGGCTGAAATAGAGGGGTTTATAGGCATGATCAAATACAGGATCAGAGTGGATTTAGAACAAGAAACTTCACACACATGTTTTGGGGAGCTCTGAGACTTATTTAAACTGTTTGAAAATGATGATAATATGTGACCTTTAAGCCATTCTTAAATCACTTTCATCCACTTGTTAACCTGGTTTTCAGCTTTCTTGTGATGTTTGTATGTTTGTATTTGAATCTCAGGTGAAATCTGGTAACATGATGATGATAATTGTTTGTCCAGTTCAATGTTGTGCCTCTCTGGTACAGTTTGAGTTTTGAACGTTGGGTGAGTATAAATCTGAGCTGTGACAGAGGCCTTTGTGCTCACAGCTGATTGTGTCTGAACCGAGGCCCAGCTAACGCCGTCGCCTTGTGCGTTACGTTTCTCCCTCTGACTTTAAGGAGCCTCAAACGGAGCCTCTGCTCGGTGAGAGAAATGTCTACTGCTTATTTTTGGCAAATAAGTCCTTCAATCATCCTGCTGTTTATGAGTCATTGGTGACACTTTGAGAAATCACTGCTCAGTATTTTGTAAACTTTGGTGCATTGAACATTTTAGTACAAGCTCACAATAAAAGAGGAAACTGCCATCAGTGTGAACGAACAGGAAGAGGATGATTGAAGATCTCATTTGACAAACAGTCAATGAATCACATCAGGTTGATCGTGCACCACCACTTGAGACAATCTGTCTCTGAGATCCTTTTAGACCTTTCAATACTTCGCTGACTGAGCTGTGCACAAGAGTCCATTTCTATGTGGACTTCAAGTATTTAGATTTACACTTGTATGTTTAAAATCGATCTAAAGATTCATGGTATGATTATAAAAGGAATGGCTGTCGTGAATACTTTCAGAGGGCTAAAACATTTGGAAACACGAGCATCGTCCCTTAACCAAAACAAAATAAAGAGATAATAATAATTTACGGTCAGACGGGGGTTAAATATGAGGATGAGTGCTTTTAAAGTCAAAGAAATCTTTTTATAACACCATGTTGGTTTGAGGAGCTCAGTCAGGAGTGAGAGCCGTCTTCCTGGATCTTAGTTTCAGTTTTGTACCAGGTTTTGGTGCACAGTGCAATAAAAAAAAAGTCCATTTGAACGAGTCATTTAATCGAATATTTACTCTTAAAATCGGATTGTTCTGAAACAAGTGTACATCTCAGCGGCGGCGGAGGAGAGCTGTCTCAAGAGCGGAGGGCCTTCTATGTCCACTTGCTTTGAGAAACAAGATTTTAAAGTTAAATAAAGCGACTAAATGACCTGTTGAGATGCCGTTTAACTCCTTTAGTATAAGTGTGTGTAAACTGCAGCTGGGCAACAACATACGAGAAAGTCACACTCAAGTCATCACTTGTGACTTTCTGTCCGACGTATTCGAGCCGTTCCTCTGCTGTATATTTTCTCTCTTCCCTTCCTTTCTTTTCCTCTCGCCTGTTAAGCGCCTCAGATCGAGCGCCGCAGTTACTCATGAACACAAACGTTATGATAACTGCCGGCGTGTAGCTTCACCGCCGTGTTGAGCTCTCAGTTTGTGGTGATGACTCAGCTCGCTTAGCGCACACGTACCTCAGTGTTGTTTGGCTGTGTGGGGTGAAGTACAAGGTAAATATCTGATGTGTATGTGTGGGTATCCGTGCTGATTCTGTGCGTGCCGTTGTGTAAAGGTCAGTAGTGATTAAACGTGCGAGTCTTTGATCAAACAGTGGATTTGCTTTGAGGTTTTTTTTTCCCCCCACAGAATCGTCTCTGTGTAATCAACAACTCGCCCAGGACGTCTGTGGAGTGTGCTGTCATGTGTCTGTGTGTTTGTCCAGTGAATGTCTCAATGTTTTGTCGTAATATTCTAGTTTTTTAAATGTGCATAGAAGTACATCTCCATGAAACATCACATTGAGACAGTCCCCTTCTGGCATGCTGCTTTTACATACTGAATATACCAACGTCACAAATCACCAAACACTCCATCAATCACATAAAGACTCTGCTAGGGATCCATTTACCTCTCGTATCAGGATTTCAACAAGAGATGACATTGACTTACCTACCTTTCACCAGGATCAGGATCAGGGTGAGAGGATTACTAACGAGGGGTTTGCACGTTTAGTCAACTTTAGGGTTAAACTTCCTCACCCCTGCTGGTCAGCACCGGAATTACAAGCCGATTAAACAAATTATTCATGTTTTTATATGATAGCCCTCGATGCCGGTCAAATGTTGTGCTCAATCTGCTACACAGCCAACGGCCACTAGGCGGGGCTGCAGCCATAAGCTGGCTGTGTTTAAGGGCCTGCTCTCATCGCTCTACTACTCAGATGTAAACATGCACAGGAAATATGGAGAGCATCTCATAGGAGCAGTGAGGTTTGTCAGTGTTTTGATCTAGAACATGGAGAGAAAAAGTGTCTGAAGGCTGTGTCCTGTTTTTATTTTTTAATTTTTTAAAGGTTTTATTCTTTATTTAGAGATAAGATGGAAGATAGTGTCAGAAATCGGAGAGAGAGAGAGAGAGAGACTGGGGAATGAGGGAAAGGTGCAACAGGTCGGATATGAACCCGGTCCGTCTGCTTGGACGACCATAGCCTCTGTACATGGGGTATGAGCACTAACCAGCGCCCCTCGGCTGTGTCCTGTTGAAGTGGCGCAATGTGTAACCACAGAACACTCCTGCCAAATGTATATCAGATCAAAGCAATCCCTGGAAAAAAAATGTAGTGGTATAAAAACCAGGTGACGATATTAATTTATTAGCTTCTCAGTGAAGAAACATAGCTGCTATTAACACCTCATTTAGGACAAAAGACAGTTCAGTAGTTTATTTCAAATAACTTCTCTGTCGATGAAACACATTTTTAACAAATTGCACACATCCCAAATCATGAAACATTATTTCCGTTTTGCTAGACGCTAAAAAGTGACGATACTTAAAATCCAGTTTTTATTCAACACAGAAACGAGCAACTTTTTTTTACCAACTTTACATTTAAATAAAAACAACATTTTAAAGAATCACAGTTTATAAGTGTTAAAATGAAACATGAGCAGGTAAAGTATAATCGGGTAACTGTCTCACTGACGGGCACCTTTCTAATGACGACTGAAGAGAAAAGATGGATGTTGAATCAGCAGCCATGAATCTGTCACTCACTCCCTGTTGTCTGTCAGTACACGTGTTGTCACAGCCTGTTTGTGTGTACTTGTGTGTTTGTATATCAATATGTGCTCATTGTGTGCCTTTAAATGTTCTCGTGTGTGCGGAGTATTGACTATGTGGAGGTTGAGATGACAGCAGATGCCCTTGATGACGGTCACTCTGACTTGTTATGGATTTCCTCATAGATCCGAGAAGACCGAGTCAGAGAACCCAAGAGACCGGCATGAAACTCAGATCAATCACAGCTCTCTACCTGACTCATTCTCTCCTCCATCAGTCCCTCTCTCTCTCTCTCTCTCCACCTGACTCATTCTCTCCTCCATCAGTCCCTCTCTCTCTCTCTCTCTCTCTCTCTCTCTCTCTCTCCACCTGACTCATTCTCTCCTCCATCAGTCCCTCTCTCTCTCTCTCTCTCTCTCTCTCTCTCTCTCTCTCTCTCTCTACCTGACTCATTCGCTCCTCCATTAGTCCCTCTCTCTCTCTCTCTCACTCTCTCTCTCTCTCTCTCTACCTCTCTCTCTCTCTCTCTCCACCTGACTCATTCTCTCCTCCATCAGTCCCTCTCTCTCTCTCTTTCTCTCTCTCTCTCTCCTCCATCTCTCCCTCTCCATGTCTCTCCACCTGACTCGTTCTCTCCTCCAACTCTCTCTCTTTCTCTCTCTCTCCACCTGACTCATTCTCTCCTCCCTCAGTCCCTCTCTCTCTCTCTCCTCCATTTCTCTCTCTCCTCCATCTCTCTTTCTCTTTCACTCTCTCTCTCTCTCTTTCTCTCTCTCTCCTCCATCTGTCTCTCTCCTCCATCTCCCTCTCTCTCTCTCTCTCCACTTCAGTGTTTATTCATCCTACATATGTTTTATAGAAGTATCATACACTTCTCTCACCTCCATGCCTCCTTCCCTCTTCTCTTCATCATCCATCTAGTTCCTTTCTCTCTTCCACGACCTATGACCCTTCAATTGGGCGTACACTGTGCGATTGTAAATCTGTCGTGCGGGAACGTCACCTCATCTCTCTGTACGACTGAATCATTTACGACTCACGAGTCACGACCAAAATCTCATGAATTATGTCCTCACACTGTGCGGCCCCGTCGTTGGGCACGACGTGAGTCCTCACTCTGCACGACCTAAATCATAATGAAGCATTGAAGCACTGAGTTTTTTAAGCTTCCTCCCCTCACTCACTTCCTTCAAGAAGTCCCTAAAAACTCACCTCTTCAACATCGCCTACAACCTCAACCCTCACCCTCCTTCTTTTACATGCTCTCTAAGTTGTTTTGTCTTTTGTCGTTCTTTGTTCAGCGTGCTTGAGTGCTCTCGCCCTGAGGTCAGATCAGTGTGTATTTCAGTTGTCTCATATCCAAACACAAAAATATACTGGCATGTCTGTGTGTGTTGTCGAGGCTTTTTCTCCACAATCCATCCCATAATTAACACCGACCGCCCCAGCTCTCTCACAGCTGCCTCCTGTTCCTTCATTCCCTCAGCCTCTCACAGCTCTCTCATTTCACTCCCTCTTGCAAATCCATCTCAATGAACCAACTTCACCACATATTTAACGGGGCGTCCTCTCTCTCGCTTCCTCTCCCACGTTAACCTCCTCCTCTTTTATTCACTGTCCCTCATTCTTTCTCCCTTATATGCACGTCGATTTGGCTCGGTTTCCTCTCAACCTCCAGACAAATTAATGAACTCATCCTCTGTCCAGTCACACAAGCGTCCTGTTCAGTAAGTTGTGTGTGTGTGTGTTTTAAGAGCTTTTGTACTGTTACACGTTTAGTGTGTGTGTGTGTGCTTCTGTCCCCTCTTACAGTGTCATATATTTCTGACGATCAGTGTTATAAGTCGCTCTAACATCATGACATTGTTGTGTCCATATTCTGACATGCTTCCTGTATATGTGTGTGTGTGTGTGTGTGTGTGTGTGTTGGTGCAGGTGGTCCATGACGCATACACAAGGTTTGCTGAGGAGTCTCTGATGCAGTCTGTGAGTGATAAGACCCCGGACACCACAGAGGTCACCATCAAGGTCAGTTCAAAGCACAAACAAAACACATTGTCAGCAAATGTTTTTAAGCATGTGACTAAAAGTATAAAGAGTAATAAAGCACATTCAAAATGTCACTTCGTGTCTGGTATCACATTCGTCACACATTCCACTGGCCTGACGCGATGGAAATTTGGACGGAGACCACGCTGCCTCACTCCCTCATCAGGTCATAAACGTTTCATTTAAAGCAAACAGTTGTAAACTGTTCAGTGAATAAAACTGAATTGATTTGAAGACTCCTCAGTAAAAGTCAACGAGTGACCAGCGGAGGTGGGCAGTGTGTCTCGCAGCTTGGGGGTGGGCCGGCTGAGAGCTCAACTACCGCACTGCAGCTATAGTACGAGTGCAAACTGTTTTCTTTGTGCTGTACTTTTTTTTTTTAAACGACGACTCTTCTTAGTTTCAACATTTGACATCTTGTCTTTGTGCTATTTAGAATCAAATATGGGCGTTCTATGTTTTGTAAATTATCACATCCTGTTTTTGATTTAAATTTAACTCGGTGTCCCAACTTTTCAAGCTCAAATATTAAACCCCTTTTGAGAACGAGGCACGAGGTCACTTCAACACCTTGGATGGCAGGTGTTCAGCTTTAGATCTCTGTAACAGAAACGAAAGCTAATGCTTGGCTTAAGCAGATGCTCTTTTAATTTATGACGGTCCGTCTAAATAATGAAATGTGGTCTTCATCTTTAACAGAGAAGGCAGATGTATCATCTATGACCTACATTTCACACTGTTTACTTTTGAATCAGATCTGTTTCGTTTCAACACACTGACATCCATCCCTGCAGATTGTTGCACACGTAACAAGGACATTAAGAAGTGTTGTGTGCATGCGGGTGGAAGGTAAAGCTATAAATAAGGTCCCTGAAACATGTGCATAAATTATTCACGTCGCTTTTCCACTGACCTCGATTTTTTTACCACTTCCCTTTCCTTCCATTCCTCTATCCTACACCAGCGTCCTTCCTCCAGCGTTTCCCCTCTGATTTTCACTGTTCTTATTCGATCGCTCTTTTTCTCCATATATCTTTTAGGGATTAGCTACTTCCCCCTTTCCCCCCTCTTTATGGTTTCTTTTCTCTTGTCCTCGGCTTCATGATCTCATATTAACAAAGACTCTATTCTCCTTTGACTCCTTCTCCTCCTCTCCTGTACCTCCTCTCTCCTTCTCCGTAGGGCCTCGAGGTGTCCAAACCAGGACGCTACCAGGCTCTGACCTCGGACACCTTCCTGGAGATGAGCGACTCTGGGGTGGAGTTCAGTCACTCGGGCCTCCCGCTGGACAGCGACACTGACGCTGCCATGACCTACGCCTCCCACAAGCCCCTTCTGAACGCCATCTCCCCAACAGCCATGACAGCGGGGGTTTTCCCGGACAGCCTGGAGACCACCTTGACCACCCACGGCGATCTCACCGCCAGCCGGACCCCCGACTCCGTCCTCAGTGCCAGCCCAGCCTCAAATCCTCGCTCGCTCGCTGCTGCCACCCCAGACGGCAGCATCGGCGGTGCTGCGTCGCCCGGAGCCGCCTCTAGGGGCACCGCTGGGTCGGATTCAACCAAGACAGAAGGAGGGGCTGAGGGTGAAGAGGCGGGGCAGAAGGAGGGATCATCTCCGAGCACCTGAGAGGATTCACCAGTCTATTTTTTTAATCTTGTTGGTTCCTATACAGATAGACATCTACACCCCTTCTGGCTCTGCATTTCCAGGAACTCCATCATATCCAAACATCACCAAGTCCTCGATCACTGCATCTGAAACACAATACACAGACTAAATACTCACGCTTGGATCTGGATTTCAGTTAAGCCCAAAAGAAAATAACAAAAATGGGGCGGCTGCACAAAATGTATCGCACTAAACGAGATGCAAAAGAGAAACCCCACGCTCAGTCCAAAGAAGAACAAAGCAATTCTGTGCATCTGGAAACATGCATGCATTTAAATTAGCGTAGTTATTGTAGTTCAGAGCTGCAGGAAATGCTGACCTTAGAGTAGATCGAATGCATGCAGGCTTCTGTTGGTCCAAGAAGCTCAGGCTCAAAGAAGTCATGGTGTGGAACGTGTAAAAACACTCTCAGCACTTTTAGGAAAACACTTAAAGGAGATCAAATGATTTAAGCCCCCGTTGAAAGGTTGTCAAAACGATTACACGAGTTTGACAGTTTGACGGCAGAGTGAAGACGCTGCAGGAATCGCTACCACCAACAACAGCAGATAGGATCTCCTGTTTTGGAAGCGGATCTCGGTGTGTTGCCCCTGACAGCACTTTTGTCTGCTCTCGCTGCATCAGACAAACACTGCGATGATTGCATTTCATCCCACCCACTCACAAGACTCTATTATTAACAGAACAAGTCTGTCAGGAAGCGTCTCCGCCTCTCAGGAAGAGCTGCTTGTCTCAGCACTTGTTCAATACCACCCCGTGAGAAAAAAAAACCTGGACTTACACCTCCTAAAAAAAACGCCCTGCAAGCTGAAACAAGCGCTATAGATCTAATACCCTGACTTAAGCGCCGTTATTGTTTTCCTGCCTGGTATATCTCGGGTGTCAGATCTGCCACATTCGAAGGCGTCATGTAAAGAAATCCCATCAAAACTTCCACCACTTCTTCCTCCTGCTAATGATGAATGATAAAACCCCACAGCAGCGACAGCTAACTATAGACTCGTTCTCGTTTGTTTTTGTTTCGTCCCCCCCTGTGGAGTTGTCACGAGCCCTGTCAGAGCAGCATGAATTCAGCTTCCCCACACATCTTGGGACTTCTGGATCCGCTCCGTAATTGGATTCCCGGTCTCCTCGCGTATAGGGACGGATTCACGGACGCTGCGGAGTGAGGAGCGGTGATAAAAGAGACGACAGAGATGGAACAGGGTTACTATTTTGGGGAGCAGATAAATGACATGCATGATTTAAAGCCTTCTATTTTCATCTCAACCCCGCTTTTACGATGGACGGAGCTCTGATGGTCGGAGCCCAGTTGTTTGGCAAAATGAAGTGAGCGGGGAAAACGCAGTCGAATCAATCTCTGATAACGCTGCAGCGCCGACGGAATAACAGTGATTATAACTGCTGTGTGTGTGTGTGTGCATGTGTGTGAGGATTAAGGGCTCACACAAAGCGAGACATTCACTTCACTGCACGGAAATGATGCCTTTCAATCCACAAAACATCCGACGTCAACATCCCTCAATTGAGAGTTCAAGTAACCGTTTCTGAGTCCACACAGATCCAGCTGGTGCTTCGTCACTTTGGTGCTACTACCAACAGCACCAGGAATAATAATACAAAGATAAATCTCGCACATTTAAGAAAATGAGAAAGTTCAAATGTTCAGTTAGAATGAATCCAGCTGCAGGTAACGCCTCTCATTTAGTCAAGGGTGTTCAGATATTTTAAAAAACATTAATTAGTTTAATTTATGAGTTTTAGCGAGTAGGAAGGGAGCTTCAAGATGACAGATGTTGATTTAAATCTGCAGTTCCACATTTTTTAATGATGATTTTTCAGTGATATTTATGGTCTTGGAGCTCTCGGGTATGCCTCGGTCTCGCTGAGTGTGGTCTTGACTACAACACTACGAAGAGTCAGCAGATATAGCCACACGTTTGCATCAGTACACACAGCAACATCGGACAACCACGATCTTTACTTCACGCTGAAGCTGAAATTACGTCGACATGGAAAGCCTTCCTTTAAAGCGGCAACATGGACGTTAAGAGTCAGGACGAGAAAAGCACACGATCGATCACGTTTCAAAGAGGTTGAAGCACGTGTATGGATCTGCAAAAAATCTCAACCCTAAAGAGCTCCTTTAATATTCAGGAAAATGTAGTTTGTATTGAGTTATTTTTTGCAGAGGTTAGCTGGGCATCATGAGTGTGTGGAAGACTTGCACTCCCTTCTTACATGTCATTGAATTATTGATCTGTGTGGCTGCTTTATGGGGCAGTGCTGCAGAGATTTCTTGACTTAATCAGATATTTATATTACACAGAGAGTACCGATCAGGCTTCTTAAAGGGACTTTAAGTGTGACGCAAAATGTCTGTAGCTTTGTTAAGAAAGGACGATAACTGGATGACAAAAACATGGTAAAATGTTTTCACTCAATCTAAAGCAATATTAACCATAGTGGCACTAAGACATCACTCAAATCCCCCACTCAAAAAAAAGACTCTGAAACATCTCAAATCACTCTTTATCGTTCTTTTCCACTGTTGTAAATATTTAAGATGTATGATCTGCATGTGTAAAGTGTGAAAATACTCGTGTGTTTCTTACTGCAATGCTTATGCAAGATTTGATACTATCCAACGCTGCTTCCTACCGTTAACCACACATCCACCCGTAGGTAGAAAAACTTAACACGAGGAGAAGGAGAGGTCGGAGGGTTCAAAGACTCTCTGTTTTTTTTTTTTCTCATGTCATGTTTACGTGTCTGAGTCACAGAGGCGCTGTGTGAAATCCTTTCATCAAAACTTACTTCAGCTGGGCTTCTGCCGTGCAAACACTCCTCCGGGCTGCGGTGTTCAACACATAAACAGCTGCTGTTTTATTTAACCAGGTAAATTATTTAGATTTGTCATTTGAGGAACTGACAACAATGCAGCAGCCAGTATGTCCTCCTTCTATGTTTAGATTCTGCTCCTGAATGCTCTGGATTTGTTTGGACCAGAGGAGGTAGACGGTTTTAAGGCACCCCCCACAAAGATGTGGGTTAGGGTTAGGGTTAGAGAAGAAGAACCAAAGGACTTTTCCAAACTGAAGAAAATAAGTTTGGTTTAAAAAAATGTGTAAGAAATCCCAGAAGTCTGCCACAATCGCTTTATTACCCTGAACGTTTGTGTCTTTAATGATACGATGAAACCCATGAAGATGCATCTACCATCCAGCCTTCATGAAGTGCTTAATATGTTGGAGAAACTGTCAGGAAACCCCAGCTGAGGAAGTCTTTGTGAAAGGATTTCACCTTCTGTCATTCATTCTGATGTTTGTGTTCCCTGCATGTGTGTGTGTGTGTGTGTGTGTGTGTGTGCAGGAGGCGATTTAATAAAATATTCTCTCAGTTCTCACAGATTCAATCTTTCTTAATCTAATGTTCCCTGTGACTGCAGAAAATCTGGTAAAAAAAAACCATGAAATGATGCCTGCAGGGTCACAGTTTATTAATATCTGTGATTATAACGGATCAGAGGTCGCTATCACGCAGAACATCACAAGAACTGTCGGCTCTGGTTTCTGACACTAAGATTAATTAACTTTGATTCTCTCTGGTGTTACTCGGCGACTCTTGTGATTCAATTTGAGATCAGCTTTAAGAATAAGAGACTCGAAAGTTGAAATAATTTGCATTTTGTCTCGTGTTCAGCAGCACTTCTCCTCTGTGCCACACTGAGAATCCCTCCTGAATGCATTTTACTCGTATCTGCTCGAAAAAACGTTTTTTTGTATCATCCGCTCCCACCGCAATGCTCGCAGCACCTGAGAATGTTTTTTATACCAGAAAAACAAAAATCCTAACAAATGATTTTCATATAATCTATGTGTTTACTGTCATCCTGAGAATAATAATAAAAAAAAAAAAAAAACACCTTTGAATGATTGAACATGCTTGAGAATGAAAATTACTTTTTTTTTGTAGCATCACATTTAGCACCAATAAGATGATTCCTGCCTGGACCACGCTTCCTCTGTCCTCTGATATTCTATCCTTTACCTGGTGTAAAGAGAAGAGTTACCTGCAGCATGCTGACCTGTAGAACGTGTGATGCTAATAGCTAATGATGGCAGTAATAATATGAATTGCACCTCTCTGTACAGACGGCCTCCTGAGTTCACCCTGACCTGTTAGCCGAGGTCTGGCCCTTGTTTCCCATGATCCTCCTGCCTCGTTACATCACGTCTGCCTGCTGGGTTCAGCTGAGAGTGACGGCCGCAGAGACAGCCTGTCCACCTTCAGAAGATGCTTTTACACTTTGCAATATAAAAGATGTAGATTTTTATTAAAATGTGAAAACTGGAAGCCTCTAATTGGCAAAGAGTCCGTACACGCACTAGACGTGTTTCAAGTCTTAACAGGCTTTTAAAGCATGTTTAAAATCAGAGTCTGACATTACAGTTATGAGTGGTATATATCATGCAAATACCGACTAAGCAAGACTTTACAAAAGAAACGAAACACACCGAAAAGGAAGTATAAAAATACGACAAAATGTAGGAAGCGGAAAAAAAAAAGTCTGACGCAGGAATCAAGCAGTTTAACATTTGTACGAAATGTTAAAGGAAGAATGTGCGACATGTTCCACATAAATATATCAGAAATCAAGTCTTGTGTAAATGTGTCTCTGAGTCATGACTGTCTACAATGAGGAGAAGCTCGAGTCCCGCTGGCTGTGTTGTTGTCAGAGCCGTGTTTACATGGACGGGACGGCCGGCTCCTCCCCTTGCGTATAAAATCTGTTTTACTCGAGGACTAGAGAGAAGAAGAAGAACATACATAATTTAAAGATTTCAAAACGAACACAAAGCACATGATGCATGAATTTAAATAATCTCTCCCGAAGAATGTACTCTCTCTCTCTCTCTCTCTCTCTTTCTCCCTCTCTCTCTCTCTCTCTCTCTCTCTCTCTCTCTCTCTCTCTCTCTCTCTCTCTCTCTCTCTCTCTCCCAAAGGTAATGTTTTTGTGGTTTTGGGAAACCCCAGGGTTGGCTGCAGAGTCAGGATGGCTCATGAGGCAAAGTCAAATCCTATTGGTTGTTTTAACCCACTGCCCAGGCAGAGGAAGAAGTATTGTTAATGTCAATAAAACTACAGATTTCTCTGTCATTGAGTTTTTGCCAAATGTAACTTTTATCAAAGTAACTCTGTAAAAATATCTCATTTCCTTTGCTGTGTTTGAGGTTCAGCTTTGTTGAGTTCACAAAGGCAGAAAACTTTAAAAGAGAAAAGTGCATCACAGCGTGTTATACTCGTGTGATTTGTGGTCATGAGTTTCTCTACACAAAAGAGTTTGTTTTCACTTGGATTGGATTTAAATCTTGGTAATCTTTGACTCTAACAATACTTCAGGGTGCTGCCGTAAACGAGCGCTCACGCCCCCATGTCTGCTTGAAGAATAACCCAATAATCCTTTCTCTCCTGGTACCATGTAAAACCTTTTTGGCATCCTGCACAGACTTTTGTAAAGCTTCTCCTTTTTTTTTTTCTGTAATGAATGAATAACTCCAATTAAATGGCTTTTCAACAGAGAATGAATCACAAGGTTTCATTTTGTGCGAGGGCTTTCAAAGCGGCTTCAATTTAAAAACTCGAGTATTTCCCTTTTAAAGAAGCACTTTAAGAGACGTGCGAGGAAATTAAAGACGAAAGGGTTTAGAGACTTGAAGCACTCTTCAGAAATATAAGACAGAATTAAAAACCTTCAAACATTGCAGCGTTAATAACCCTGAGTTTGACTCAATAAGGCAGAATAATTAGTTATAAGCTATAAGAAGTAGAAATTGATTTCTACAAAAAAAAACAACACACAGTTTTGCAATACCAGCACAAAGCGTGGAAGGATGGATCAACACCAGACGTCACAACTATCAAAACACAGACAAGAAAATATGACAAGTAAATTAAAATACACATCATGGGATGAACACTTTATATTTGTTCCCTATGTTAGAAAATAAGTCATAATTTTCTAATTTAGAGTATCCCACTATGTGTAACCATTGGCCCTCTGGAATGAGAATAAACTGTTTGGGAAATAAAGTTGCCCCTGTCAGCGGGGGATGAGGAGGAATGCTACAAATAAGAATTTTAGAGGTTTTTCTACCATGTTGTAAAGTTTTGAGGCATTTCCTTTCTCCACAAAGTGAACCAGTTGGAGTTTATTTGGCTCTTTGTGTCTGCTCCGACACTTGTCCTCACCACCAGGGCCCGTCCATCTCCCGCTGAAGGCGCCTTGGCCTCCAGCCAATCCGGGCGGAGCAGGAAGTGACGTGCCTTCGAGCGCTAGGAAGCCCCTGGACCGACGCGCCAAATTTCAAAGGACTTCCTCCTGGGAGGAAAGGAAGCGAAGAGCTGCGACCCGGAGTCCGGCGAAGAAAGGCGATTAAAAAAAACCCCGGAGCAACAAAAGAATATTTCTAAAAAACAGTGAAATAACTCCGCGGGGTGAGCAGTCGACGCTGCGTGGGGATTATTTCACAGAAACTCCGAGTGAAGAGCTGTTATTGTTGTTGTAAGTGGCAGCTTTGACTTTACATTCAGTCCTACGAGGAACTAACGTCAGCTAGCTTCACCCTGTGTGTGACTGACAAGCTAAAAACCAACACTAACAAATCACTTCATCCAACTTCTATGGATGTACATGTGAGTAAAAACATCAAATATATCAGTGTTGATGAGTTAATTCTGCAGAAAAAAAAAAGGTCCGGTTGTACCTTTTGTGCTGGTTCCCGTGTCCTGCTTTGTGTCGTTGATCCCATGATGTGTCAGTGAGTCTGCATGCAGCTGTTGCATGCGGTGCAGCCTGCAGACAAACTAAAGCTCACTAAGTCAACTTTAAAGTCTTCACTGTGTGTTTTGAATGTAGAATCTGCAAAATTGTCTTCTGTATTTAACACACGCCTTGTGCTGAAATGAGTAAAACACGTGGTGTTAAGCGTCAAAGTAATTGTTATGTAACGTTCAAAACAATGCATAAAACTGCTTTTAATTGCTGTGTGTTTTTCCCTTTTTCTTTCAGATCAGACAGTCCTCAGCGTCACACTCTTGTCAGGTTTCTCCCCCCCCACACCTGTTAGACGGTGGATGTCAGGAGCCAGGGGGATTTTAATCTCACAGACACTCAGACGGGCTCAGATGACAGCTGTTGGAAACCTGGAAATATTAGATGTCAGAAGTAAAATACGCCAAAAGTCACGGCTGTCGGGTTCTTTGGCAGGTTTACCTTCCACTGTTTCAATGTTTGCTGCACCTTTCGATTTAGCGCCGCGCTGAACACTCAGACCGTCCGCGTCGCCGAAGCTCTTTATTCCCAAACTTAAAGCCTCCACTTCATGTCGGATTTAATCAGCTCGAGTATGAGCTCATAGCAGTGTGCAGAAGCTCTATTCCACACTTCACCGGCTTATTCATTTTCTCTTTATCCTCATTATTTATTCATGTGCACACAGCAGGACACAAGTCACTCACTTTCCATATTAATGCAAACATCTGTCGCTCAAAGCTGCTGCACCGGCCTGTAACCTTCACACTCACTGCTTGAAGAATTTTTAGACTTTATTACAGTTTGATGTCCGCAGTCAGCACTCTTTGGTGGAGCCTTGGTGCCTTTGATTTAGAGTTGAACGCCACAATGGGTCGCAGCCTCCTGTAGCTCAGGGCCCGTCACAGACAGGGTGGGGGGCATTTAGGGGGAAGCGGTGGCAGACAATCAAACCCTTCAGTCATGCTGTCCGGGGTGCAGCCGTGTTTCCAGCTGCTTCGGATCGGTTCCTCTGCCGGAGACTCGGCCCGGGACCTGTACACGTTCAGGCCGGCGCTGAACCTCTCCGTGTTTCGTCTGGGCCGGGCGGCGGAGCTGTGCGACGTCACTCTGGACTCCTCGTCGGTGTCCCGGATCCACGCCGAGCTGCAAGCGGAGAGGGAGGCGAGTGAAGTCGCCGCAACGTCGCATGAGGAGGGCTGGACGGTTCACATCAAGGACCGGAGCAGTCATGGTGAGAGAGGGGCTGAGTCAGACACGCGCACACACACACACACACGCACACACACGCACACACACACACACACACAGGCGCACCCGTCTACAGTCATAGTGGAACAGAGACGCCCCTTTTACAATAAATGCTCTTCTCACTTACAGTCAACTACTCAACCCAAGGAGAACAATCCAGACAGATATTCACATCATACATCTTTAAAAGCCTTTATGCTTTCTGACAGATTAAAGTTTAATAACTTCTGTAGAGGACATATAAGGCAGAAAACGATGCTTTAGGTAAATAACAAATAGTTTAAGTAGTCCAGCCGAGTCCACACAACGCCATCATTTAGAAAAGTGTCTGCAGAGCGTCACAGCTGAGCACGTAATAATGTTAAATATTCTTTAATAAAGTGATTTGTTTTAGACTCAGAATCTGAAGACCCTTACACTGACTTACCGTAAAATCCGTTGTCTAAGACGCACTTTTAGGACCTATTTTTTCACCTTAAGAGTTAGCTGCGTCTTGTACAACGGTGCGACCAATACATCAGTATAAAAAGCTGACAAATGCGTCTTCATTAGCGCGCGCGGAGAAGCCACCATCAATGAGTGCGACCCGACGAAATAAAAAAAATATATATCCCCGTTCAGTGTGTATCGCACGCTGTACTGGGAAAGACAGCGACACAGACCAGTCTGGCTGTGTGACTTTTCCACATCTTTTCTCCCTCACGAGGTCATAATCATGCATTTACAGAAAACAGTGGTATATTGTTCCGTAAATAAACCTTGTGGAGCGCCCTTTTGATTGAAACAGTCATATATTAGTTAAAGAGCGACCAGCAGAGTCGGGCAGAGAGGCTTGCAAGCTAGCTGGTCTGTGCCTCACAACTTTCCCTGTAGGC